GCCGCGTGTTCTCCGCGACTCCCGCGCTCGGCGGAGCGGGAGGGGGCGGGGGCGGGGCGTGGGGCGAAGCGCGGCCGCTGTGACCCTTCAAGGTCTCGGGGCGGTGGGGTCGCTCGCGGGCCCTGCGGATCGCGTCCTCGCCGAGGGCGCACTGACTCGACGCTTCCAAGCATCTAGCTAGCTGCAGGCCGGGGCTGCGGGTGGTGGTAGGAAAATGTGCTAGGTACGTTTACTGCTGCTGGGTGTTTCTAGTATGTGTTTTAGCGTTGGCTTCCCAAGACTTTTTTCCGTTTTCTGTTTTGGTGCTGGACAACGAACCAAGGGCCTAGACAAAGGCTGTAGCATTGAGCTGCACTCCCTACCCGCTCTTTTGAAACAGGATTTCCCAGTGTTGCCCAGGATGGTCTAAAGCACGGGATCCTCCTGCCTCAGCCTTCTGAGTAGCTGGTATTACAGGTTTCGCCACTAAGTAACATTCCTGTGAATCCACCTATCAACTGTTAATTCCTGGCAACTTTTGTGTTTGGGTCTCTAGCTGTGGTTCTAAAGTTACTATATGAATGGGCACCATCTTCTTCTGGTCATACTGGAGTTTGAACCCAGGGCTTTTGTATTGAGCTACATCTCCAGCCCCTTTTTTATTTTGAGACAAAGTCTTGCTAAGTTGCCCCATTTGGGCTCAAATTTAAGATCCTCCTGCCTCAGCTTCCTAGACTAGTGGGACTACAAGTATGCACCACCACACCTTAGACACAGCGTTTGGTGGTGATTTTTAGTACCGGGAATCGAACTCACGACCTCACGACCTCACGCTTGCCGGGCAGGCGCTGTGCTGCTGAGCTAAATCCCTGGCCCGGCACAGTGCCTTTTAATGGGCCTGTTTTTTTATTTTAACTTTGAAAGCATATTTAATGGTTGTTAGCCTGGATACAAGAAATGCATTTCCCTTTACATCTCCCCATGCCTTCTTTTGTGGTACTGTTCCAAGGGATTGAACCCAGGGCCTTCCCAACAAGCTACATTACCAGTGTTTTATTCTTTACTTTTATTTTGAGTCAGGGCCTCACTGAGTTGTTAAATTGTTCTGGCTGGGCTCAAACTCGGGATCCTCCTGCCCTAGTCTACCAGAGTGCAGGCATTACAGCCATGTGCCACCATGCCCAGCTAGTGTTTGTACATCTCTTGTAAGACCTCTTGCGAAAGTTGCTGAAGTTGGTACCTGAATGATAACCCAGAATGGTAATCCCAGTCTTTGGTCCCAGTGTAATGACTGAGTTTCACCTTCTTATTGGGTAGTTAACTGAGCATTAACTAATTAAAGATTCTGTAAGGACAGAGCAAACATTTGACAATGGTTTGGTATCCATAATATAGAACCATATATAGCAATAATACATATATAACCCAATTTAAAATGGGTAAAGGAGTTGGTACTGCACGAAAAGACACGCCAATCAACAGAAACATGTGAAGAGGTGCCAGGAGGTAGTATACACTATCAAAATAAAGTTTGAAGATAACAATATGCAATATAATAACCATTGTTAATTTCCTATCATGTTTTGGAAATTCTGTATCACTTTTATTTTTTTTTTCTCTTTTAAAAAAAAAAACAAACTAAAGTTTATTTTTCGTTGCTGGGGATTGAACCCGTGGCTTCGCACTTCTATGCGAGCTGCAGCCCCAGCTCTATGACCAGAATTGAAAAGACTGGCAATAGTAAAAGGTGATGCCAAATAGGAAGCACCTGAACCCTTCATACATTGCTTGGGGAGAGGTTACAAAACGATACAACCATTTTAGAAAACAGTCTGCAGCAGTTGACACATATTTCTAGAAAAAGACTTGCATAAAAATGCTCAGAGATGGGAAGAAAATGTTCAAATGAAAAGGGGAATAAGAGATGGGCGTAGAAAAGAAGGAGCAAGAAAAAGAAAGAATAGGAGGAGAAAATGGAAATAGCTTTTGCAAATAAGGAGGGGAAGAGGGTTTAAAGGGAGGGGAAGGGAGTGGGAAAGAAAGAAGATATTTCATGTACAAGTGCAGATTCCATATGATGAGTGTTATCACAATGTATTTCTAAAATGTACCAAACAAATAAAAGCAATAAAATGCTGAGAGTGCTGGGCGTGGTGGCTCATACCTGTAATCCCAGCACTCCACTTGGGAGGCTGAGGCAAGAGGACCGTTGTGAGTTCAAGATCAGCCTGAGCTACAAAGTGAACTCAAGGCCAGCCTGAATTGCATAGCCGAGACCCTGTCTCAAAAACAAAACTGAAAACAGGAAAGCTGAGAGAGCTAGGTATATTGCCATGCCAGTAATCTCAGAGGGCTCAGGTCAGAGGGTTACCAAGCTCGATGCCAACCTGAGCAACTTAGTGAGACCCAGCCCAAACTTTCAGGCTGGAATGGTAGCGTGTCTGTAATAACAGCTCTGTGGGAGGCTAAGGCAGGATGATTGCAAATTGGAGCCCAGCCCTGGCAATTTAGTGACCTAGCAAAACCCTGTCTCAGAACAAAAAGGGGCTGGGAATGCAGTCCAGTGTAAAAGCCCCGAGGTTCAATCCCCTGGGTGTGGCAAAGCATAGCTGCTCCCCTCATGGCTGAAAAGCGTAACAGCAGAAGGAGTGGGAGTCCCACCTTCCCTTGCACTGGCCGCCCCAGTGACCACAGACCCCCTTAGGGCCCTCCTGAAGGACTCCACCACCTCCTCTGGGCCAAGCTGAGGGCCAAGGTTAGCACTGAGCCTTGGGGACGGACCAGATCCAGACTGCAGTTCCACGCGTCATTTCAAAATGCTTTACACATCCAGGCATAAACTCAATACCTGCTGTACAACCTGTGTGAGAAAACCTATCTCCTGAAACATGACAAAGAAAGGCTTGAGAAAGCGTATCACGTTCTTGAACTGGAAGATGAGGCGTCTTTGTCTTTTTGTTTTTGAGACAGGGTCTCACTATGTAGTTTTGCCTGGCCTTGTACTTGTAACCCTCCTACCTGGGCTTCCCAAGTGACAGTGTTGCTGGAAAGTAATCTTCAAAGTCTGAGGTCCTGATTGCAGAGAGGGTGCCTTACTTATAGGGCGGTGAACAGAAGTTACAAGGAGATGAGCATTTGTTGGAAGCCAGGATACAGTGGGTATTTGTGATGACCATAGTTGTGTATGTAGCAGGTTATGTTTAGCACATTTCCAGAAGCAACAGGAAGGGGCTGGGGATTTAGCTCAGCGGCAAAAGTGCCTGCCTGGCATGCGCAAGGTCGTGAGTTCGGTTCCTGGTACCGGAGAAAAACCAAAAAAAAAAAAAAAAGAAGCAACAGGAAGAAATCAATTTGGATTGAATTAAAAAGACAGAAAAATTTTTTCTCAAGGGAAAAAAAAACTTCAAAACTGGACAAGAGCTGTGAACACACAGTTCACAGATTTTAAAAAACATGAAAATGGGCTTGTGGCACACACCAGTGATCCTAGCATGCTGGAATATTGAGGCGGGAGGATCACAAGTTTGAGACCAGCCTGGGCAACTTGACAGAACCTCTTAAAATAAAAGAGGCTGGGGATGGAACTCAGTGCAAGGCCCTAAAAGGGCTGGGAATGGAACTTAGTGCAAGGCCCTGGGTTTAATCCCCAGGGCTGAAGAAGAAAAGGAAGGAAGGAAGGCAAGCAGGCAGAGGTAAGGAAGGAGGGAGGGAGGGAGAGAGAGAGAGAGAGAGAGAGAGAGAGAGAGAGAGAGAGAAAATTAGCTGTTTGAGCAGATGATCAGCCTCAACAACAGAAATGACATTTCTACTTCATGATGATAAAATTTTCAGTCAACCTGATTTTTTTAAAAAGTTGGAGAACAGTCTGTAATCCTCCTGCCTGGGCTTCCCCAGTGATAGTGTTGCTGGAACATGCAGCCTCTGTGAAGAGTGAGTCTGTCCATATTTAGCAAAATTATGGTTCTGCCCTTTGACCTAGGATTCCCTTTCCCAGGAACCTAATCCACAAACACCCTGGCAAATAAGGTACCAGGGTATTCACTCTATGGCATTTTTATAGCTATAAAATGAACACACGCACACGCACACACACGCTGGAAACCACCCAAATACTCATTGGTGGGGACTTGGTGCTCATCATGAATTCATCTGGCCCTCACATTCCAACCTTAGCACAGAAGCATTCTTCCTTTCCTTCCCACCTACATTTGTATTTTCCTTCTTTCACAGGAAAGGCCTTGGCCCCTCATGTCTCCATATTGCATATGCTCATCTGCTCAGTCCTACAGCACACACTACATGCTTTCAGAGTAGCTACACGTACCCAGCTGCCAACAGCCACCTTCTCAGTACAAGTTCAGGTTTCTTTGTGTACCTTCCTACCGTAGACTAAGGACACAGTCTGCAAACACTGCACAGAGGTGATTTGGATTTGCTCCCTTTCCCCTTAGTTATGTTATCTCTCTAATGCGGTGGTTTCTCTTTGTTTAGAGTTTTAAAAAGACAGTTTGAGACAGGGGAATCACAAGTGGATGGGAATTGGCAAGCTGCCCAGGCTAGCCTGGGATTTGCCATCCTCCTCCCTCTGCCTCACAAGAACCTAGGACAGTGATGGGCAAATCTCTTAGAGCTTTCAGTGATACAAAGAGCCCGCTGTGGCATGTGTGCCATAAGTTTGCCACCGCTCACCTAGGATTACAGGTGTGTGCCACTATGCCTGGTTTATTTATTTGTTTATATGCCTGACTTAGAAATTGTTTTTTTGTTTTGTTTTGTTTTTTGAGGCAGAGTGCCGTTATCACTATGTAGTTCAGCTTGGCCTTGAACTTGCTCATGTAACCCAGGCTGGCCTCAAACTCACAGGGATCTTCTGCCTCAGCCTCCTGAATGCTGAGATTATAGGTGTGTGCCACCACGCCTGGCAGAAGTTGCTTTTCTAATAATTTCTCATGTCTTCGCTGAATGTTTTGCCTCTGATAAAGCAGCCATAAGTATTAAGCTAAAAGAATAAATACAACGTTAGTGTGGTGGAGTTTGCTACTCTCTGGTGGGATGCAGCAGTAACACTGAACTCCACGGATACCATATTTCCCTGAAAATAAGACCCAACCGGAAAATAAACTGTAGCACAGTTTTTCAGTACAGTACTTTAAAAGATGTTCCTCACATTTGCGATTTCACCTGTAAGCAGGCTCACCATGTCATTCAGTGTCCTGATGCAGACATCTGAAAGGGAGGGAGAGGCAGAGACAGTGGATAAGATGCAGAACAGGAGCGCACTGGCACTGTCTCCAGAAAAGCAAAGTGTTCTCATGACTACATCTGAAAGATGATAGGTGTATTTGAGATCAAGGGGTTGTCTTACTCGGAAGATTTCATTCATGTGTGTGTGTGTGTGTGTGTATATATATCTCCCCGATTTAGTGGCAGTAAGTTATAAAAAAATCGGCCGGTGTGGTAACACATGCCTATAATCCCAGCACTTGGGAGGCTGAGACAGGATGGTCACCACAAGTTCAAGCCTAGCCTGGGCTGCATCATAAGACCCAGTATCAAAAATAGAAACAAATAACCCCTGTAGCTTTCTATAAGTGAATCACAGGGTACAACCACAGATCCCCAACTCTCCCTCATCCCATTTGACTGGCAGAAATAAAGCTGTTATGAAGAGAATATTGGGGGGGGCACAGGAAGGAAACTAATTTTCTAGCTTCATGACAGTCACCATGTTCTAGCAAAGCATTTATGTCCAAGGACTAGACCTACTTACTAGGGGAAAACTCCAGCTTGTAAAGCCCGGAGAGAGCCAGGCCTGGACTTCACTCCCTGGGAGGGTGCAGTCCTATAGAAGTGGCCCTGGAACTTCCTAAGGGGAGGGTCCTTGGAGAAGAGGGGTTCTGGAAAGGCTTATCGTGGAGGAGAAGGGAGAGGAGGGATCACCACCCGACAGAGGTCTGGGCTCTCTGGCTGCAGGAAGAATCAGGAAATGCAGGTGCTTCAGAAGAGCTGCAGGAGCCAGAGAGGCCAGCTCATAGCCTTGTGGGTGGCACGCAAGCATCTGAACTTTACTGTGAAAACTGGAACATTTTCCACGCTTTTAGGAAGGGGAACAACAGATAGAAAATTCTTTCAAGAAGCTTAGCTAGCCGAGGGTGGGTGCACAGCTATAATCCCACCACTCAGGAGGCTGAGACAGGAGGATCACTGTGAGTTTGAGGCCAGCCTAAACTGCATGGTGAAATCCTGTCTCAAAAAGGCAAAAAACGTAACCCAAAGAAGCTTAACTATGCAAGGAGAGAATGGTGACTGGAGAAAAAGAAGATTGTTTTAGCGTGAAGGTGACCATGCAGATCGAGAAGGAGAGAGAACGATGGATTGATTCAGCCTTGGCTCATGGCAGCAGAATTAACAGTGCATTTCCATTCTAGCCCCAGTGACCTTATTCCTTCGGTACCACACAAAGTGCATCATATGTAGCATATATGTACAACTATATTGCAGATAAACACACCTCACCCTCACTAGTTGCACAGTGATTTATAGATTACCTTAGGTGAAAAGAAGTAGTACCCTGGTTTTGAGATCCTTAGCATTGTCTATTCAAAAGAGTTCATACTGACAGGTTCATTTAAAGTCCTGTATAACAGTATCGGGTATTTTATTGTTAAAATGTATTCAAAAAACATTATTCCAAAATATATGTATTTCTGGGTGAAGGGAAAGGACAAAAAGCTCTCAAGCCAGGCATGGTGGCCCATGCCTGTAATCCCATCACTCAGGAGGCAAAAGCAGGAGGATCACCTCAAGTTTCCCAACACTCAGGAGGCAGAGGCAGGAAGATCACCTCAAGTTTGAGGCCAGCCTGGGCTGCATAATGAGTTGAGGGCCCGCCTGGACTACATAGCGAGACCTTGCCTGGAAAAAAAAGCTACCAAATGTTTTAATTGGTTCTGTGTAGATTTTGGGGTTATAGTGTTTGCTCCTTTGCACTTTTCTGCATTTTTTCCATTTTCTTTATGCAAAATGTTATTTTTGTAGGCAGTGTTTTTTAATTACCTGGTTTTCAGTATAATTCTTTGCACTTTATCCTGTTCTAGTCCAGTAGGTGTTCTCATAATAGGGAAACCACACTCCATAAAATCAGAAGACTTCAGTTCTTACCAAGTCACACAACACAAAACCCATATCGTTCTCTTCACTGGCTTGTGTTGGATAGGAAAAGCATTGTGATGTATAGAGTACAAAGTTAGGAATAGCACGTAATCAATAATTCACGGGCCAGCCCTCCTGGGTAGGGGACAGTACAGTTTAAAGTTGCTGTCACTGGTAATGTATTTCAACAAATCTGTATTGTGTATGAAGATTATGCAGTAATTGCTTTTACAGTTAATGAGGGTTTTTTTAAAAATGCATTTTATTTCTCCTCTAGGCAGTCAAGCCACACACACCATTAATAAGGTTCCCTGACAGAAGAGACAATCCTAAACCCAGTGGTAAGTTTTCCTATATCTAGATTTTTTTTAATGTATATATAAACTGGGCATGGTGGTGCATGCCTGTAATCCCAGCACTCGGGAGGCTGAGGCAGGAGAATCGTTGTATGCTCTGAGACCAGCCTGGGCTACAAAGTGAGCTCAAGGCCAGCCTGAACTGCATAGTGAGACCCTGTCTCAAAAAGACAAAAAACAAACAAACAAATAAATGTATATATGGATATTTAGAAATAACTTTGTTATTATAGGTAACATTTCTTTTAAAATCCAAGTTTTAGCATAGATCAAAATGGTACCCTGGGTAGCATGAAGTAGAAATTTATTTTTTATTCCCCCTATTTTAAAAGGGGTTACCCACTGGGCAAGGTGGCACATGCCTGTTAATCCCAGCTGAGGCAAAAGTTTGAGGCCAGCCTGAACTACATAGGGAGAACCTGTACCCCATAAAACCCCAAAGCAAAGTAGTGACTCAACAGTGGATATCTGTGAATTTTTAGTGATACTGAGTTTATAGTTTATATTACATGCAGGATTGTTGTACTTTCTTCTGTCTTTTAAGAAAAGATTCTTGGAGGCTGGGGATTTAGCTCAGCAGCACAGCGCCTGCCTGGCAAGCGCAAGGTCATGAGTTCGATTCTCAGTACCAGAAAACAAAACAAAAAAAAGATTCTCCTAGTCTTACATTTGCAGATTGTGAGGAATACAAAGTATTCCTGTATTTCTCTTCCAACCAGCTTCTCTTTTCTGCTATTCTTTTAGCCCAGGCTGGCCTCAAACTTGAGGTGATCCTCCTACCTCAGCCTCCTGAGTGCTGGGATTACAGGTGTGTGCCATGATGCCCAGCAACTTCTTTTCTTTTACTCACTCCTTTACCTATTGATCCTGTCAGTAACTATTTCTTGGATTGCCTTAGTCTTTAGCAGTTATTGAAACTATAAACTAATGAGAGAAGATTCTGAAAGGGTTGTGTTTTTTGTTTTACCAGATCTTCTGTATCTTTCTTAGTATTTGATCTTTAATTTCGGGAGAATTTGAATAGGTTTTATGGGGATTTTTTTTTAAATTTAGCTATTAAAAAAATAAGATAAACAAGTGTAAAGATGTTGAGAAAATTTACTGACTTCTTTATTCTCCATTGAAGGATCTGCCTGTGAATTGTACCTCTAAGGGTTTATGTGGCAAAAACTTAAGTAATGTGGGACCTGTGTAGTGTGTTGAACTCCATTGATTAGAAATTTCATTAGACCTTTTTATTTTTTCCCCTGCTTTTCAAAACAAGATCTCACTATATAGTCCAGGCTGGCCTTGAACTCACTATATAATCCAGGTTGGCTTTGAACTCACAACAATCCTCCTGCCTCAGCCTCCCAAGTGTTGGGATTATAAACGTGTGCCGCCACACCTGGGCTACAGACTTTTTTCTTTGTAGTACTGTGCATTGAAGACAGGACCACGTGCATGCTAGGCAAGTGCTTTACCACTGAGCTACACAATCTTTTTAAAATTTTAAGTCAGGGTCTTGCTGATTTACCCAGACTGATCTCAAGCTTGAGATCCTCCTGCCTCAGCCTCCTAAAGTAGTTGGGATTACTGGCATGTGCCACTACACCCAGCTATTTTGCAATCTTGTTTTCATTTTAGTAATTCACTTACTTAAAACTATCTCTTGTTGAGCATGGGCTTGCCCTGGTAGTATCAGCTACTTTGGATGCTGAAACAGGAGGATCCCTTGAACCCAAGAGTCTGAGGCAGCCTGGGCAGTATAGTGGGATACCATTACATGCACAGAGAGTATAACTCATGCACAAGCTCCCAGGTTCAATCCCAGCACTGCAAAACTTACATCAAAAAATACCCCTTATTTCTTTTAAAATGAACACTATGAAATTATATCCAACTGAGTAATTCTACATTTATCTCTTATAATTATAATACTTCAAGAATTATTTGAAGAATAACCTGATTTCAAGAGTGACTTTATGCAACAGTAAGTAACTCAATATTTTCAGGAACATAATTCTCTAATTTGGTTTTTCCCTTTTTTTTATTTTAGTATCAGAAGCCTTGAGATCAGCAGGGATCCCATCTCACTCTTCTGTAATTTCACAGCATTCTAAGGGGAGTAAATCACCGGAGTTGCTGATGCATGCAGGTCCACCAGACACTGCAGAAATAATAAAAATGCTACCTCAGAAGTATAGAAGGAAACTAATATCTCAAGAGGAAATGGAGTTTATCCAAGTACGTGGTTGTTTTCTGTCACGAGATCGTACAAGACCCCATAGCATTCTGGCTTTAGAACTTCTCTTGCTGACTTATGCTCTTCCTATAGTCAAGTGTAACCTAAGACAGAGAAGTAGTGCAGGACGGAGAAAGAGAGCTTGGCTGGAACTGTCAGTAGTGTGTGTGATCTGTCAGTAGACAGAGGCACGTGACACTGGACATGGTGGCACACAGCTGTGATCTCAGCACTCATGGCCTGAACCTGGATTACCGAGTAAAACCCTCTGTCAAAAAAAAAAAAAAAGAGTCTTGGGGCCAGGGACGTAGCTCAGCAGTACAGCAGCTGCCTGGCAAGTGCAAGGTCCTGAGTTCAATTCGGGGCACCAAAAAAAATCTGCCAGGGATGTGGCTCCAGTAGTTGAGCACTTGATGCATGAGACCCTGGGTTTGATCCCCAGCACCACCACCAAAAAAAAAAAAAACAACTCTTTGGGGTCTTCAACAGTTTTTCATAGTGAAAAGAGCTATGGAGACCAAGAAATTTGAGGACAACTGATATAGATCAACCTAGAGTTGCTTCAAGATCACAGATTCTAACAGTTGATATCAGTGCCCCAAACTATGAGAAGCCTGGCATTATTTGTAAAAAGCTAAAGATCTTGTCGGGCATGGTGGCACATAGCTGTAATCCCAGTACTCAGGAGGCTGAGGTAGGAGGATCGCTCTGAGTTCAAGACCAGCATGGGCTACATAGTGAGTTCATGGCCAGCCTGAACTACGCAGCAAGAGCCTGTCTCAGAAAAACTAGAAAGCTAAAAATCATCTGCTTAACATTATGTAACTCTGTATAGTGGCTATGAAAACATTTCCCGTGACAGTTTAACATCTAATCTTACTGCTTTGTGTTTGCCTTTTCAGCGTGGAGGTCCAGAGTAATCATTGTGGCTGCTGTTTGTCATCAGACAAAAGAATTATCTTTATAATGAAGGACTTCCAAAATGACATATGAAAAATTGTATATTAAATAACCTTAATAAATATTCTCAAAAAATATATATATAGAAACTTTAGACGGATACCTGGGCCTTCTAATTTATGTATCTTGGTCAGCTTCTCCACAAGCTTACCTAATTGTTTATATACTTTATACTTATTAAAGCATACATTTAGAAGTGCTAGCTTATTAATTTACTCTTGATTTTCAAGTAATACCAGAGACAAAATAGGAAAAGCACACAATGTCTAGTAAACTGTAGATTTCCTATGATTTCACTTTTCTTTCTCATTCTGTTTAGAAATAGAAAAAACTTACTAGATAGAATTACTGCATTAGGGAAGTAGATTTCCTGAAATTAGAAGAGGATTGATAAAATAACATCAGCATTATTCTTAATTCTGTAACGTTTTTTCATTCACGAGGTTACTGGAGTAAACTGGCATAAGCATATCTTACTGTAGATGATCAGTATATAACCAGTGACTGAGATGAAGACCTGGGAGACAATTAAAAAAAATGTACTTGTAACCATTACTCAGAAAAAAAAAGTCAGTATAAAATGGAAAGTAAGAGATCAAAATGAATATAGACAGGAATAAATGTATCACTGGAAATTTCAGTTTATGTTTGGGGGAATGTTAATGTCTTATTCTTTGTTTTTTTTACTTTGCGTGTGATCATGTGTGCAAATCCTGATGACCTGTTAGCTTTCTCAAACTTAATATCTGAAAACCTCATAAGTCAACCTATATATTTGCTTGTGAAGCCAAGCTATGCAACTTTAATAGGGCCTTCCTGTGCCAAGAGAAAGGAAAGCCTCACAAAGCTAAATAAATTCTTTTCCATATCTGTGATGATTTCTAGAATATGATTCAAAGTCATCCCTGATAATAAGGGTAACTCATGAACAAAAAATAGTGGAATTTTTGAATATGTTTTCATATTCATTCAGTTGTCTGTGGGTTCAGCCCCACTTTTTCTACTATTCCTGAGTTGATGTTCTTTTTTAAATTGTGCTGTAGCTTCAGATGAACATTGCCTAACACAAATAGGAGATAAGAGATTAGGTTTGATACTGGCAATAAGCTATTCTGATAACTTGTGAAAAAAAGACATGATTTTGCATATTTTATTTAAAAAATCATTTGCAGCATGGCATGGTGGTACAAGCCTGTAATCCCAGCACTTGGGAAGCTGAGGCAGGAGGATCACCAAGAGGCCAGCCTGGGCTACATAGTGAGTTCAAGGCCAGCCTGAACTACTCAGTGAGATGCTGTCTCAAAAAATAAACGTATTTGGAGCTGGGCACAGTGGTGCACACCTGTATTTCCAGCACTAAGGGAAACTGGCTCAGGAAGATTGCAAGTTCAAGTCTGACCTGGGCAACTTAGTAAGACTTTGTCTCAAGAAATTAAAAGGACTGGGGGTGTGGCTTCCTGGTAGAACAGCCCTGGGTTTGATCCCAGGACTGCACCAAAAAAAATTCTATTTGGGAAAATTACTTGAGTACTAGCACTGTTTCCTTTTCCCCCTTGGCGTTCTCATTTTGCTTTCAGGGACAGTGGTGCAGGTAATGAAGGGTGCTTTGAGTAACACTGTGGACCAGCAGGTGGAAACACGAATACCACACTTGCGTTTGAGTAAAGGCAAACAATTGCCATGAAAGGCGAAAGGGAAAAGAGATCACTTGTGTAAGATATGTGAGTACAGATGTGGCAAGGTGTGCCAGTGGGATTGCTGGAACAGGATGCTTTATGGGAAGAATTCTGGTAAAGGTTAAAGTCCGATAGCCTGTACTTCTGTGTAGGGCTTAAGGAGTTTATGTAACTGTCAGAAAATGGGTTAGTATGTTCAGGTGTCAGCTTTTTGGGTCTCTACAGCTAGATAAATTAGTGTATTATCTATTACTTTGTAATAAACTGCCCCAAAATTAAGAGGCTAAAGCCAATTACACCCAAAGCTGATTGTCACTTAATAGCTCATACCTGGGGTCAGGAGTTCAGAGCATCTTTGCTGTCTCGTGAGGGTACCATCAGCTGTCACCTGGGACTGCAAGTAGTTGACAGCAAGGGAGGGCTGGCTGGCCTGCTCTAGGGCAGTACACTCAGACTGTGGGCACAACAACATGCCCCTCCGTGTGGACAGGGGGCCAGGTTCTCCCAGCACAGATGGTCCAGACCTAGCTTTCCAGAATCACTTCTGCCATATTCTATTGGTCACATCTGTTTTCTTTGTGAGAGGGAAGGCAAAGAATTATAGTATTCTTAAAAGCTGGCTAAAACAGATATGTAGAAGTGTTTTATAGAGCTGGTTGTGGTGGCGTACGCCTGTAATCCCAGCACTTGCGAAGCTGAAGCAGGAGGATCACTGCAAGTTCAAGGCCAGCCTGGGCTACACAGTGGGATAAGGACCAGCCTGAACTACATAATGAGAGCCTGTCTCAAAAAAGCAAAACAAAAGGGCTTTATGAACTGCAAAATGCTATGCAAATACTTCATGGCTTTCATATATACAGTGAACTCATTGGCCCAGAATATCATCACTCAACACTGCGTCATTACCCTGAGATGTTCCAGGCTAGGGATGTAGCTCAGTGGTTCAGGGTGTGCTCAGCATGCGTTTTATCCCCAGCACCAAAATAAAACTCCAGATGGGAATGTGCATGTCAGTATGGTGCAATGGGAATATCAACATCATCCTATGGTGTGCTTTGGACTCTCAAGCTTCCTAATTTTACCATCAGGTCAGCTTATTTCCAAGTGAGATGAAATGACTGTCAGGAATGTCGTTCAGATGGAACTTTGACCTGGACACCCTGCATGTCTAGGTATGATTTGCCCCAATTAAGAAAGATGTAAAAGAAAAAAAATGTATCTTAGCACTTTGGGAGGCTGCGGCAGGATTGCAAGTTTGAGCCCAGCCTGGGAAACTAAGCAATTTAGCAAAACTGCCTCAAAAAACAAAGGCAGTAGGAGCTAGGAATGTAGCTCAGTGTGAAAGCATTGGGTTCAAGACCAGTAACACACACAGCTGGTAAGGATAGTGTGTTTCCTGCAATGTATGAGAGTTCAAGCAGTAACAAAAGCCAGAAGGATAACTAGTAATGATTGATTAAATATTTGTCAGACGCTAGTCAGGACTTTACAAGTTGTTATGACTTACTTCTAGATGATCCCCCAAAGCTTCATGTGGTCATAGGTGGGGCTTTTTCAGAGGTGGGTCAATCTAGAGTGCATAACACAAGAGATGAAGGGTGGGTGATTACTAAATTAGTACACTGGTTTAGCAGCAACCTAATCACGATAGCTTAAAATATAAAAGGGGCAGAAAGAAGCTGCTAAGATCCCTTGCTAGCTTTGCTATCTTCTGCCTACCATGAACTTTTTCTATGCAATACCTGCCATGCCACAGTACCTTGGAACCAGCTGACTATGGACTGAAATCCCTACAAACGGTGAGCCAAATAAGCCTTTCTTCCGTTAACTTTGGGTGTCAGGTAAATTGTCTCCGCAACAAGAAAAATAACTACAAGTATAGTCAGTTGAGCCTTGAAGCAAATCATTGTGTCCTGTCACAGAAGGAAAGGAAGTACAGATAGTAACCTTCCTAAGTCATACATCTAGTGATTGAATACTTGTGGGCCAGTATTCAAAGGCAGACAGTCTAGCTCTAGAGCATAAATACAACCACTACATTGACAGGTTAAAATTACTGTGTTTCCGTTAGTGTTCTGTTGCCATTTTCTACACACCTCTGAAAAATAATTCTAAACTCTTAGATGTATCAAATGCAGCTGGGTGTGGTGACGCAGTTCTGTGGTCACAGTACTCGCCAGGCTGAGGCAGGAGGATTGCCCGGAGTTCAAGGCCAACTGGGCGACATAGTGGATTCAAGGGCAGCCTGGACTATGCAGCAAGACCCTGTCTCCAAACACAAAAATGAAAGAAGTATTTGCAAAGAAAGGAAAAACAATTCCATGCCGACAGCTGCTCCAGCTCAGAAATTTGGAACATTCTTTCCCTCCAACCCATACCCAGCCTGTCAGCAAATCTTATTGGCTAGAAGTAAAACTTACCACCCTAGTAAAGCCATCTGTATTTCTGCAGTAATTCTCTAGCAGACCTTTTTTCTCTTGTCCTTTCAAATCTCTAATGTAGTGTCTCTCAAGAGCCAGAGTGAGCCTTTTATTTCATTTCATTTCATTTTATTTTATTTTTGGTACCGGAATTGAACTCAGGACCTTGAGCTTGCCAGGCCGGCACAGAATCTTTTAAAAGACTGTCCAAATATTTGTTCAAATCTCCCTGGTGGGTTTTCAGGTATTTCTTGTACCACCCTATCTAAACTGCAACGCCCTCCATTTTACCCACACACCCTGACTCTGCTTTATTGTGTCTGTAGCATTTATTATTTGTGTATCATGTTTGACTTCCTTATCTCCTCCCACTCTTGGGATTTTTCAGTCTACAATAGTGCTTGACACAGAAGACACTCAATATATATTCACTAAATAATTGGATTTAACGTATTTACAAAACTTTGTAAGTTCCTTACCGGTCAGTTTACTTTCCCTCTACCCCTCCCCCTCGGTTTTGTGGTACTGGGGATTGAACCCAGAGCCTCCCCCGCTTTTATTTTGAGACACAGTCTGGCAAAACTCCCCAGGCTAGACTTGAAATTGTGATCCTTCTCCCTCAGCCTCCAACGTGCTGGGATTACAAACCTGCACCACGACACTGGGTCAGTCTATACTACGTGTAAATTCTCTCTGTGGTTCATTTAATTCTCAAAACCACCTATGCCATTTCCACTTAGAGGACAAGAATCCTATCTCATGACACATGTTTCAGTGGTGTCGGATTTTGTTTGCTTTGGCTTGATTCTTCTCGAAGGGACTTGTTTTAGTCCTGATCAGCCTTTAAAAAGTCAGCACTGCCTCTAACCTGAGATTACTGGGCAGCGGCGCCGGCGTCCTAGCAACCCTGGCGCCTGGACGCACTTGAGCAAGAACCTGAAGGCGGGATCACTTATGGGGCCAAGTCTGGGACATCTGTATACTCCCATCAAATCCGAACTCAGAACACTACCAGAACGCAGACCCATCCCTGCTAGTGAACAAAATACCTAAGTCCAAACGATAAAAGGGTGATACAGCTGACACAGAAAACACCTCGCTTCCGCAATCAACAAGCACCACATGGGACCTCCCCCAGCTTTCCTCCTGCTGGCTCCGCCCGGACCCTTTTACGCGCTATCCCGCCCACCCCGGAAGTGAGGCGGAGCTCCTAAGCGTCTGCACCCTGTCAGCGGAAGTGTCTGTTAGAAGCTCTTCGGCTGCTTTAAATTCCTGCTGTCCTGCACGCTCACCCTTTTCGGGTGGAGTCGAGCTTTGTGCGTGGAATGGCTGTGGACGTGAAGTCTCGAGCAAAGCGCTATGAGAAACTGGACTTCCTCGGAGAGGGACAGGTGAGGGCTGGGGCGGGATCGGGAAGGCTTGCAGGGAGAGGCCGCGCCGCCTCGGCCTCTGTGGGTTGCGCTGCAGCCGGAGGACTGGGCCGGCCGCTCGTTATTTCCTGGGGGGACCCTGGCCGCCCTCTCCCTCCTGACGAGCAGGCGGGAGCGGGACGTGGGCCGCGCGACCCCGTTGCAGGCCCCTCGCACCCACTCGGAACCCGGGTCCTCGCGAGCGCGCGCGCCTTGCCCCAGCTCGCCCCTCTCTTTTAGTTTGCCACGGTTTACAAGGCCAGAGACAAGAACACCAACCAGATCGTCGCCATTAAGAAAGTAAGTGAAATACTCTGTGTTCCTCGTCGTCTCATTTCCCCACGCCTGGCTGCACTATGGCGACGCGTCACTCTGGTTTCCAAGACGATCGCTTGCCTGGGAGCCTGGCGCTCCGAGATGGAGCTCTGGAGTGGATCTGGTATTTGCAGCATTAATTGAATTACGGAGAAAAAGCTGTGTGCTGTTTTTTGGGTTTTTTTTTTTTTTGGTTGTTTTTTTTTTTCCCTGGTACCGGAAATCGAACTCACGAGCTTGCGCTTGCCAGGCAGGCGCAGTGCCGCTGACCTAAATCCCCAGCCCCCTGTTTTGGTTTGTTGAGACATGGTCTTGCTGTGTTGTTTAGGCTGATCTCAGACTTGTGGCAGTCATCCTGCCTCAGCCTACTGAGTGCTGGAATTACAGATATGTACCACCATTCCCGTCTTTTTTGTGGGTATTGATCCTTTGTCAGAAGTATGCACTGCACACATAATATTCCAGTCTTTAGCTAGGCTTTTAGTTTACTTAAGGTTTAGGTCTTATCATCTACAGTTAATGTTTGTATACTGTATGATATGCAGATCTAGTAGTTTTTTCCCCAGCAGTCCCAACACTGTTAATAACCTTTTTTTTTAAATTTTTTTTTTTTCTTTTATTCTTTGACCCTGGGCTTGCTATGTAGTTTAGGCTGGTCTTGAACTTGTGGGACCCTCCTGCCTTTGCCTGAGTGCTGGGATTATAGGCATGTGGCACTATACCCCTTTGATAACCTGTTCTGTTCTCCCATATACTTGTGGGAATAGGTTTCATTATGTTCTTGGTTCCATTTCTGGGCACACTATTCAGTTCTAATGATTAATTCTTTACATTCCTGCAGAAATACTGTAGTATCTTTCATTACCGTTGGTTTCTAATAAGTCTTGAAAATTGGCCAGGCATGGTGGCCCACGCCTGTAATCGGGAGGTTAAGGTAGGAGGATCATTGTGAGTTAGAGACCAGAGTGGATTACAAAGTGAGCTCAAGGCCAGCCTGAACTGGATAGTTCAGGCTGCTATCAAACTGCTTCAAAGAGATTAAAAAAAAAAAAAGAAATCTGTTAAGTCCCATGTACTGTGCCTTGTTTTTCTTGCCTACCTTGGTCTTGACTACTGAATGAGCCAATTAGGAAATTTGAAACCATCAGGAAAATTTGACTAGGTATTAGGTACTACTATGGGATTATTGTTAATTATGTTAGATTTGAAAATGCCCTTATGGTTATGTGAGAATGTCCATGTTTTCAGAGGTGCTTAACATGTAGGGATGAAATGACGTGAAGGATGGGATTTGCTTTAAAATATTTTAGCCAACAAATGGGCAAGGATGAATGGATGAAGTAAGTGTAACATAATATTAGTCACTATCAGTCTGGGTACTGAAGTAGCAGGCTTCATGGTTTTTCTTCTTTTCTTTTCTTTTGGTTTTTTTTTTGGTCTTTTTGAGACAGGGTCTCGCTATGCAGTTCAGGCTGGCCTTGAGCTCACCCTATAGCCCAGTCTGGTCTCAAACTCCCAACCATCCTCCTGCCTCCGCCTCCCCAGGGCTGGGATTACAGGTGTGCATCACCATGCCTGGCTGAGATTCTTTTTATTGTTTGGACGGTGCAATAATTAAAACTTTGTGCTCTTCCTGTAAATTTTAGAATCAGTTTGTCATTATTCTGAGTGATATAAACACACACACTTAGGGGGGTGCTCTAGTAAATCACCTTTTTTTTTTTCTTTGCAATGCTAAGGATTGAACCCAAGGCTCTTTACTGAACCGTACCTATAGCCTCTTGTCTTTCTAATTCATGATTCGCATTCTCTTCTTGCCTGCTAGGACTAGCTACACCTGAGCTGCTACATGTTTTTACTCTAGCTAAATTTTGAAGTGTTCATAGGTTACGTTTTGTTTTTGGTTTTGGGGTTTTTTTTGACTTTTGTTTTTTGTTTTTTTGTCTTTTTGAGACAGGGTCTCACTATGCAGTTCAGGCTGAACTTGAGCTCACTTTGTAGCCCAGGCTGGCCTCAAACTCACAACGATCCTCTTGCCTCAGCCTCCTGAGTGCTGGGATTACAGGCGTGTGCCACCATGCCCGGCTCATAGGTTACCATTTTTCTTTTTTCTTCTGGTACCAGGAATCGAACTCACAACTTTGTGCTTGCCAGGCAGGTGCTGTGTTGCTGAGCTAAATCCTCAGGCCCACAGGTTATGTTTTAAGGCAGGAGGATCACTGCAAATTTGAGGCCAGTGTAAGTTACCTAGTGAGTTCAAGGCCAGCGTGGACTACATAGCAAAACCCTGTATCAAAAAAAGTGTATATAATTTAATGCATTTTTACTTTTTTTTTTTTTTTTTTAATTGGTACCAGGAATCGAATTCATGACCTCAGGCTTGCCAGGCAGGTGCTGTGCAGCTGAGCTAAATTCCTGACCCTAATGCATTTTTAATGTGTGTGGGGTTTTGTGTTCTCTTCTCTTCTAGATCAAACTTGGACATAGATCAGAAGCTAAAGATGGTAAGTATTCATATAAGCTGACAAAAAAAGGGAAATGTTTTTATTTTCACCGAAGAAATGAGCAAAGTACAAGTAAGAGTTAACACTGGTTCTAGATAGAATTGTAGCAGTGGCCTGGAAGAGTAAAGACAGATTCAGCATAGGAAGGAGACATTTGATAATTTTCACATTTATATCTCCTGAGTGAGAATTGGAGACAGCAAAGTTGTTAGTGGCCTGTCTTGCTGACCTCATTACTATTTTAAGTGTTAAGTGCCCTTGATTTTTCTCTTTCTGAGCTTGTAATTCCTTAGAGAGTTCAGGGTACATCTTTGTGGAAGTACACAAATACCTCTATGGCATGGACATACAACTAGAAGATTTCTTTAACCTTCTTAGGGTGCTAAGTCCTGTTTAATCATAACAACATAGTTCTTATGAAAACAGTCCATCTATCTCATTTTGAGTTCTATCTCTGGTAATAGGAAAGATACTCTCTTCTCACTATTTTGCCCTTAGCACAAGTAATGTGTCCCTGATATTTGTAGGGTGAGAGAAGGGAACGTGTTTACTTATCTGTATGCTACATACCTATAGATGTGCTTAGTCTAATGGTTTTCAGATGTGACGTGCTAGTGATAATTTTTTTTATGTATCATAGTCTGTGTTAAACTACTTTAAAAATAAAATCAGATTTGTCTTGAAAATTGTCAAAGTTGCCCTCATTTTTCTGACTGACCTTTCCTAAAAATGTATTGGTAAGAAGGGTTGAGATTTCAGAATTATTGTTTACTTTTTGCTTTGCCTTTTTACATAGGTATAAATAGAACAGCCTTAAGAGAGATAAAATTATTACAGGAGCTCAGTCATCCCAATATAATTGGTGTGAGTATAATCTAAATTGTTCGATACTTGGGATCCTGTCTTTTTGACCATGGTAGGTGTTGATTGAAGCCTCAGCAAGATGAATTGTTCCAGGTGAGCCTTGCAGAAGGAAATGAAAAGTTAATCAGCTGGAAGTATTTTCTAACCTAATCGTTTCTGTAGCCAGTGTCTTTAAAACTAGACAGCTCAGCTGGGGGAGGTGATGCACACCTGTAATCCCAGCACAGATCACTTTGAATCCTAGAAAGCTTAGCGCAGTGCCCGAGTGTCAGTCTGCATTCAGAGCCCTTCTGTTCACCTGGGAACCCTGAGCAAATTCTTTCTCAGCTATGTGTCATGGCCTCTGCTTCATAAGGTTGTCATGAGGCTAGAAAGTAGAAGACATAGAAAGGGTCTGGAATAATGTGCATAGAAAATGTACTTCTTCCTTGTATGGGTGCTGCTGCTACTTAGAGGATTTTCTTAGGTTCCCCTCGCCTTTTTTTTTGAGATGGGTTTTCCCTATATAGTGCAGGCTGGCCTTGAAGTCACTTACATAGCCCAGGCTGGCCTCAAACTCACAGTTAGCCTCCTGCCTCAGCCTCCCAAGTGCTGAAGTTATAAGTGTGCGGCACCACACCCAGCTTTTTTTAATTTAAAAGGGGAGTGTCTCACTATGTTGCTCAGGCTGGCCTAATACTCCTGGGTTTAGGTGACCCTCCTGTTTCAGTCTCCTGAGTAGCCAGAACTTCCAAGTTTATGCTACTGCTCCTGGGGAGACTTTTCTTAAGCAGTGTGCTTGGGAAATTTTTTTTCCTGGAAACTGAGGTGAAGTTTTTATTGATTTATTCTTTAGTTATAACTCTCCAAATTAGGGGGAACCTAACTATTTAGTGATTTTTAAGAAATTTAATATTTGTGTGCCTCAAAATACTAATTTCTTTACCACTGCAAAAAGAGACAAAAGTCATGTTTAGTAAAATGATTTCAGCTTTATGGGAAATTGCCAATAGTTGAAGTGTTTAAATTTTTATAAAATATATCTATCTGTTGGTATGTCCTACCAATGGTGTTAAATAGAGAATCACATTTTAACTTTTTAAAACTTTTGTTTTGTAGCTCCTTGATGCTTTTGGACATAAATCTAATATTAGCCTTGTCTTTGATTTCATGGAAACTGATTTAGAGGTAAGATTAAGGTTCTTAGAGAAATTTTTTCTGCAGTTTATCAAAGGAAATAATAAATGTTTTTCTGCCTTAGAAGATACTGGTATTTATTTATTTATAAATGAATGAATGATAGATACTGATATCTGTACTGCTTTGTTTCTCTGGTGTGCGAAACTGAAAGTGTAAATAAGGACCAAAATGTATAATAGATATTGGGAAATGGGAAGAAAATGTTCAAATGAGAAGGGAAGCTAAGGAGAGAGGAGGAGAAAGGAAAGAAGGGACAAGAAGAAAAAGGAAAAAATTGAAACAAAGCTTTTATAAATGGGTGGAAGAGGGATTGACGGGAAGGAAGGGGAATAGGAAAAAAAGTAAGATATATCATGTACAGGTACAAATTCTCTAAGATGAGTGTTATCATCTACCTGAAATATACCAAAAAAATTTTAAAGTTAAAAAAAAAAAAAAGAAAATATAAAGTTCTTAAAAGCAAAAAAAAAAAAAAATACTGGTACTTAAAAACATGCTTAATTTTGTTTAACATGGATGGGCTCTGAAGTGAGACAGATCTCTGAGTTCTTTACTTGTGGTCATTTACCTGTACTTCCCAGTGTTAAATGCTGTACAGAGATTTGTACTTTATTAGCGTTTCTGTTTCATTCCCTTTTTTTGGTACTGGGAATCGATCATTAGCATTTCTGTCTAGCAAGTTCCCTATAGCCATGACATCACTGTTAGAGAAATAGGAGATGAAATTTATCAGAACTTTGAGCTTTTCCCTATACTCTGTTACCGCCAGTTTCTTTTTAAAAATATAAAATCGCATACTTTTTATTATATTAATTGAATCTTAAAAAACTCACAGTCAAAGGATGTAGAATGCCACTGCTATTTAAGAGAAACAAAACATTGCCAACATAGAAATCAGTGTTAAATGGTTGTTCAGCCTTATTTGTAATCACCAAAACTGGAAGAAACGCAAATGTTCTTCACCTAGTAAATGTCTGAATTGCAGTAGCCTGTATCATTTAATACTACTGCCAAGCTTGTTGGTGCACGGCTGCAATCCCAGTGCTCAGAAGACTAAGGCAGGAGGATTGCCATGAGTTCAAGGCCAGCCTGAACCAGGAAGTGAAACTCTGCCTTAAAAAAAAGAAAAAAAGAATTAGGGGCTGGAGTTATAGCTCAGTGGCACAGCGCCTGCCTGGCAAGTATGAGATCCTGAGTTCGATTCCTGGTACCTGCCCAAAATAATAATAATTTAATACTACTCAGGAATAGAGAGGAGCTATAAGCCTAGGAATAAGCTGGCTTATGACATGGATCCCAAGAGTGCGATAGAGTGTGCGCCAGGCACTGTAACTCCACTTGTTTTACCCTCTTACCTTTCTCCATGGGCCTACTTTGTCAGCGTGGTGATCTGGGCAGTTCCAGGCTTTTGTCCTGGGGGTGTGACAGTCCCCAAGAGAAGAAAGTGCTTTGTTCCCTTTACTTCTAGCACATATACCTGGCCTGGTTGATTGATTAGCCTCAGGTCACATGCCTGTCCCAGAAGCAGTCTGGCGCCTGGCCCAGCAGCTCCAGAGTGGGAAGGCCATGCCTGGTCTTGTGTCCTCATCTGAGGCCTCAGCTGGGGGTCATTCTTATCTTATCCAGGTGTACTGAGGTGGGATGAGGCGGTTTCCCAAAGGAATACCGAGTGCATTTCCCAGAAGGGCCATGTGTAGAGACCACGAATGTCTGCTACTTTTATGCCAAAGTTACAGGCTGCAAAGCATTGCTTTCTTCCTAATTCTGTAGGTGCTGTTCTCTACCTAATTGTAGAAATTCTGACAGTGTCTCCTAAAAAGACCCGGACAGTTTCTCTTGAGATAGTCTTCCGTGTGGATATACTTATTTTAAATCTGTAAATTTTTTTTTTTTTTGGTCCTTTTGAGACAGGGTCTCGCTATGCAGTTTAGGCTGACCTTGAACTCACTTTGTAGCCCAGCTGGTCTCGAACTCATGACGATCCTCCCACCTCAGCCTCCCGAGTGCTGGGATTACAGGCATGTGCCACCACGCCCAGCTTTAAATCTGTAAATTTTTTATGTGGTAGAGTTCATTCAGAATACTGAAGTGTATAATACTATGTATTGTGTGTGTGTTTTCCAGGTTATCATAAAGGATAATAGTCTTGTGCTGACACCATCACACATTAAAGCATACATGTTGATGACTCTTCAAGGACTGGAATATTTACATCAACATTGGATTCTACATAGGGTAAGGTTTTAAAAGGTGAAATATTCATACAATCTGAAGAGAAACCAGGGTATAGGGTAAGGTTTTAGTCTTTTAATTTAAAATTACTTTACTTTTTCTAGTGCTACAGATTGAACCCCCAGCCTTGCACACGCTAGGCAAGACCTCTGCCACTAAGCTACATTCCCCAGCCCGTTTGCTTCTTTACTGTAGTCAAGTTTACATAGCTAGTTTAGTATATAATGGTGTCAGTATGTAGATTATTGAACAGAATAAAGATATGAGTGACCATTTTATCTCAACCTCTTCTGTGTGTTCTCCAGTTGCAGCAGGTGCTGCTGTGAGGACTCTTGAGTTATTGTGGAAAGTGGAAGGCATCCAGTCCTCCTTTTTTTGTGGTGCTGGGAATAAAATCCAGGGGCTTTTGACCACTGAGCTCCACCTTCAGTCTTTTTTCATTTTGAGACTAGATCTTGCTAAGTTGTCCAAGCAGCACTCAAATCTGTGGTCCTCCAGCCTGAGCCCCACTGAGTGCTGGGATCACAGGTGTGCGTCACCATGCCCAACTCAGTCCCCGTTTACGTGCTTGTTTTTCATATATGAAGAGCTAAGTTGCTAAGTGATTAAGGTGTTTTTTTCCAAGTCAGCAGTTGATAACTCACTGGGTGTTAGAACCAAGGTCTTTGGCTTTAAAGTCTTTTAATTTCAGAATTCTTTTTGCTCTACTATTACAGAAAACTAGATTAATTTATACAATGGAGGACTGGGGATATAGTTTAGCAGTATAGTGCTTGTCTGGCAAGCATGAGGTTCTGAGTTGGACTCCCAGTACCAAAAACAAAAAGAATGAATTTGTACAATGGAGTTTTTTGGTTTTTTTTTTTTTTTAAGACAGGGTCATGCTGTGTAGTTCATACTGGTCTAGGCCTAGAACTCACAGTGGTCCTTCTGCCCCAGTCTGCTGAGTGCTGGGATACAGGTGTGCACTGCCGGATGCCTCTTCTCTCCAGTATATCTTTAAAAATAATATATTTAGTAGCTCTAAAATTCTGTGAATTTACAAAATTTATGTATGAAATTGATCATTTTCAGGACCATTTAGTTATTGGAATGAAGTTGATAATTTAGCTAGGTAGATGTTCTTAGGTACCCTATTTAGATATATAGACAAAAATACATACCTTTTTTTTGAGAGAGAGAGAGAGGGTCTCATTATGTAGCCCAGGCTGACCTTGAACTCACAGCAATCCTCCTGCCTCAAAAATACATAATTTTTGACTATGTAGTTCTCATCTTAAAATTAGAACACCTGTTAGCTTATTGCTGATAGCTCTTTAACATAAATTTTGAAGAATATGTTCTTCATCTTTTCTCAGTTCATAATGCTTTTATTTCCTAAAGTTCACATTTACTATTATTAAATGAATAGTAGTGATGATTTATTGGGTGTTTGTGATGAGGCAGTCATTGTACCAGGTTCTTTACAGAAGATACTGGATTTAATCTTCACAGTAGCCATATGCAATAAGTAAATTGGAGCTCAGTGAAATTAAGTACCTTGCCTAAAGGCCCACTATGTAATAAAAGTAATGTTACTTTGCATCTGTGAAAAAAGCATTGACTTGTTTAAATTTTCAGTGTTACCTATTTTCTAAGTTTAAGGTTAAACCAATTAAATGTTTCACTTTGATATTCCCCCCCGCAACCCTGCTTATTTGTTCATTTAAAACCTCCCTGACCTAGGATCTGAAACCAAACAATTTGTTGTTGGATGAAAATGGAGTTCTAAAATTGGCAGATTTTGGCTTGGCCAAATCATTTGGGAGCCCCAACAGAGCTTACACACATCAGGTTGTAACCAGGTAAGTCTCTTACATGACTGAAGGCTGATATCAGTCAGGGCTGATTCTATAACTTTCTGTGTAAATGAAAACTTGCTACGTCAAGCAGTGATATTTGATTTGTTATATTATTAATAATTATCTTTTTGGTAATATTTTGTTGTATAAAGACAATCACATTAAATGATAGGGAAAATAAATTTTATAATTCTTCTCAGAATGGCATTTGCTAATTTGAGACTCTTTTCAAGGTCTAGGAAGATTTCAGATTTTTTATCTTTTAAAAGTATTTTGTCACCTTTTCCAAATTTTTTTTTTTTTTGAGACAAGGTCTCCCAGGATGGCCTTGAACTTGCAGCAATCCTCTTGCCTTGGCCTTTCGGGTACCGGGATTACAGGGATGTGCTACCACACTCAGCCCAAATAAATCTTACTGAGAAGCTGTCATGTGAGGCCTAACTAGAAAGCGGGGGGCGTGAGTAGTTAGTGTAATTGCTGGGTAGATTAAGCCCTTTGCTCAGGAGCTATTAGAAATAGGGACCCACATACACACGTGTTCCTGTGTACCAGTGCCTTCTTGCCTGCTGGTCTCTCATTTCCTGCACATCCAGTGCTACCTGTGTCAAGTGAAGATGAGGACTGAGAGTGAGTGGGCATCATTTATGACTGACAAGTGCAGCTTTGATGAAAGCCTGGATGAAAGAAGTTCAGAGAGGGCGAGAGAAGTTAATTGGACACAGGAAGAACAGATCATTCAAATTATCCAAGAATGCAGAGGCAGCTTAGTGAAATCCAGAGCTGGAGAAGTAACAGTATTTTAGCATTCCGATGGGAAAACTTTAGAGGAAACAAGAGGTTAGTGACAGGAAAAAGAGGAAAGAATCCCAAGAGTAATATTCTTGAAAATTGGCAAGAGGGTATGGTATCTTGTGCTCAGGGCAAAGGATTGGCTTTAAAACTAGGCAAGGGTAGTTCATCTCTAAAAGGTGCTTTAATAGTTCTGTTCCCCAAAATTATTTTTATTTTTCAGATGGTATCGGGCACCGGAGTTACTGTTCGGGGCAAGGATGTACGGTGTGGGTGTGGACATGTGGGCTGTTGGCTGTATTTTAGCAGAGTTGCTTCTAAGGGTAAGTCCTCAATTAATGGGCACACTTCAGTGTGGTTGTTACAGTTACTTGTTCTCTTAATCTGTAAAAATTATCTCTCTTACTATCCCTGCAATAAAATCCTATAAACAGTCCTTTTAAAAAAGCTTCAGTGAGCCACAGTGGTACACACCTATAATGCAGCTGCTCAGGAAGCTGAGGCAGGAGGATGGCAAGTTTGATGCCAGCCTGGGCAATACAGTAAGACCCCATGTTTTAAAAAAGGCCTCCCCTCCCCCCCGGCCAAGGATATAGCTCAGAGGCATGGCACCTGCCTGGCAAGGGAGAGGTCCTGAGTTCAATTCCTGTTCCAAAAAAAAAAAGACCTCCTGCAAGTACAACCTTTTACCCAATGCTAATATGAGATAAGAAGAGCTCCACTTAGAATAAGAGCTTTGTTACAGGTATGCTTCAGAACATAGAATTAACTTGTAATATGGCAGTATCTGCATAGTAACTAAGTGTGTTAGAATGAACTTTTACCCTCCTGGGAGATTTCTGTTTGGGATTGTGTAAAGTACTTTTTTTTTTTCACATAGTACTGACCACTATGGCTGCCACTTTATAGAGCTTTAAAGTGTGTGAGACCATCATTTTAGTTCTGTTAAACAGAGCAGACATGGTGGCACAGTAACATTGCTGTAGCTGATTCCATCTACAATAAAATATCTCTTTCTGACCTTCACTCTAGTTACTACATTGTAAATTTTTCTGAAGGTATAAAGTTTAGCTTTCTGGCAGGAGGATTGCTGTGAGGTCACACTACTTTGTCGTGTGATCTTCCCAGCAGCCTGTGAGTTGATTATAGTTAATTATCTTCATTTTACAAGTAGTGAAATTGATACAGAGTAAAACAAATAGCCAGGTGCAAGCCTATAATCCCAGCACTCAGGAGGCTGAGGCAGCAGGATTACCACAAATTTGTGGCCAGCTTGGGTTACATAGTAAGTTCAAGATCAACCTGAATTACATAGTGAGATCTTGTCTTAAAAAAAAATCCAAAACTAAAATATGCATTTAATGCACCCACCCTACTGAGCATGGTAGCTTCTTAGCACATAGCAGTATACTATAGAGAATCCACTGTTATCCTCATGATTGAGTGGCTGACAAGACTGCTGCTGGTACCAGTCTGGAGTCTGTTTGCTATAGCTATGACTAAGTACCACAGGAGGCTCACAGACTGGGTAATTCTTTAAGAACAGAGGTTTATTTAGTTCAGAGTTTGGAGGCTGGAAAGTCTTAAGATTGAGGGAACAGTATCTGATATGGGAGGGCCCAAGCTATGTCATGGCCTGGTAGGGTTCGATCCCCAGCACACACACAAAAGAATAGCGTCAGCCTTCTTAGTAGCAGCATTGGAATGTAGAGGACTTAATTTCATGTCATATGGGAAAATAATTTTCAACCTAGAATTCTATGCCTATTCATATTTTTATTAACTATGAGAATAAATAGTGTCTTCTGTTAAAACTTCATCCAGCTGAGCCTGGAGGTACATGTCAGTAATATAATCACAACCACTTGGGAAGCAGAAGTGAGAGGCTCACAGCTTCAGGTTTAGTCAGGGCAATTTAGCAACACCCTTTCTCAAAATAAAATTTAGAAAGGGGCTGGAGATACCCAATTATATCCACTTCCTTTCTTAGAAGATGTGCTTTGCTATAAATGAGAGTAAACCACGGGAAAGACATGAGATCCAAGAGACATGAGATTCAACACAAAAAAGAAGTAAGTCGAATTCTGTGTTTAAAAGTGCAGGAATGAGCCCAGCGTGGTGGTACACATCCCAGGATGCAGGAGGCTCACTCTGAGTTTGAGGACAGCCTGGGCTACATAGTGAGCTAAAGGGCAGCCTGAACTACACAATGAAACCCTGTCTCAAAAAAAAAAGGGCAGGAAATTGCTGAGAAAATAGATGAAGATCTGGCTGAGAGGGCAGTTAGTCCAGATTGGAGCAGTGAGAGGGCTGTATCAGCAGATGGTCTCCAGAAAGAAGGAAGTTTTAAAAAACAAACAACTGGTGAATTGTAATAGGTGTGGGGTAGTAGAAAACCATACTGGATAACTGGAATCTTAGCCTTAGGACAAAGAAAGTTGCCAAAGACAGGGCAGGAGAGGCTGTAGGAGAAGGGCTGGTAAATCACTAATTCCTGAACCGTGTCTTAATCAAATACTTAGTCTAGTGTTTCTGATATTCCCCAGTTTTTCTCAAGAATGTGCCTTTTCTTTTTTTTTTTTTTTTTTTTTACTAGGAATTGAACTCAGGACCTCATGCTTACCAGGCAGGCAGGACACCACTGAGCTAGATTCCTGGCCCCAGCCTGGACTCTCCTCATCCAGTTTGCTTTTGTCTGTAAAGTGAGGGTGCATGCACCCCGTAGGGAACAAGATAATTCTTTGGTGTATAAAAAGAAAACATGAGCATTCCTAAAAGTGCTTTTAACATTACTTAATATCCTTTAAATTTTTTGTGTCAATTTAATGCATAAAAGTACAGTTTTGTTTAATTTCTAGATAGAGGAGCAGGGTAATGCAAGCAGCCAGTGTCCTGGGGTCAGAGAAGCTGTTGCTACTTCTGGGTTGGTTGGTTCCAAAGCAGTGTTCAGTTTGGCCTTGATGGATGAGCTTTAGCATTCAAGGAAAAGGATGTGGAGCAGCAGGTTTGTTCTTTTTCTCTGTTGATTTAGCATAATCCATGAGCTCAAGTGGCCTTCTCTTAGCTCTTTCATCCTTCTCTTTTCCAGCCTGCAATGTCATTTAGGACATTTCCGAATTCTTCTCTTAGGAGGGCTTGTGGCATGTCTGGGTCCAGTCAGACAATAGAAAGTGCCCTGTTCAAACAAGTTAATATAAAGAATTAGCATCTGTCTACCTGCATACCGATGTTTATTTCCAGATAGCTCACAAAAGTTGAGATATGGGAGCAGCCTAAGTGCCCATCAGTTGATGAATGGCTAAAGAAAACATGGTGTGTACACAGTGGCATGTTATTGAGCCATAAACTTTTTTTTTGTACCAGGAATTGAACTCAGGACCTTGTGCATGCAGGCAGGCGCTTGTGCCACTGAGTGATATCCCCAGCCCTTATTTAGCCATAAAGAAGGATGAAATTATGTCATGTGTAGGAAAATGGATGGAACTAGAGATCACCACATTAAACAAAATAAGAAAGACCTAGAAAGATAAATAAATAACCTTTTCCCTGATATGTAGAATT